CTGGGCGGCCGGGAGGGGGGGCGGCAGGAAGAGAGGAGTGAGGAGGGACGGGGGGGCCGGACAGCAAGCCGCAAGAATCCTGTTCCGTCCAAATGCTAGTCGCAGGAGGTTGTGCGGAAAGGATGGCTGCGAAGACCGACCGCAATTCCTGCTCATTTTAGACAGACTCGCTGACGGTGTCCCAGCGGGTGTTGACCCGAAGCAGAAGGCCGGCTGCCCAACAGCGGCGGCTGTCGGTTTTGGACATCAATCGTTGTTGGGCATCGTGCTCATGTGCTCCGTACCCATTTCGGGCGCCCAACGCAGTCGGCGCGGGCTGCGCCAGCGCCCAGAATCTCCAGATAGGCGCTCGACGTGTTCTCCAAGCCCCTGCCCACCCACGCCCCCGACACCCACGATGAGGGGCCAGAGCGGGGATACATTGATAGTATGCATACGGGCCTCCGAGGCCACGCTCTGCGGCCCATGCCCTGCTGCACCTGGCGCCCTAGTTACCAAGGCGCCAGGGATGTGCATCGAATGCTGATCGCCCACCACGTGGGCGCTTCCGACAACCCTGCACCCGAGAACGTTTTCAGTCCTTGGGGGCGCATCTTTCACTTCTGCCGCCTTCCGCCGAGCTTCCGCCGGCTTCCGCCGGCGGAGGCGGCCTCGTTTTTCTCCCGCCACCCTTCCGCCGCCCTGCCGCCGAGGAAGAGATGACAGCTCCTTCGATCCTCGAAGGCGGAGGCCCTTTCCGGAACGCCTCATACGCATCGAACGTCGATCGCCCACCACGCCTCCTCCTCCTCCTCCTCCTCCTCCTCCTCCTCCTCCTCCTCCTCCTCCTCCACCTCCCACTGCTCCTCTACTCCTCTCCTCTACTCCTCCTCCTCTCCTCCTCCTCCTCCTCCCTCCTCCTCCTCCTCCGCCTCCTCCTCCCTCTCCTCCTCCTCCTCCCTCCCATTGCTCCTCTACTCCTCTCTCCTCCTCCTCCTCCTCCTCCTCCTCCTCCTCCTCCTCCTCCTCCACCTCCTCCTCCTCCTCCTCCTCCTCCTCCTCCTCCTCCTCCTCCTCCCTCCTCCTCCTCCTCCTCCTCCTCCTCCTCCTCCTCCTCCTCCTCCTCCTCCTCCTCCTCCTCCTCCTCCTCCTCCTCCTCCTCCTCCTCCTCCTCCTCCTCCTCCCTCGAGGCCGCCCCGTCGGCGCCTCCGCGCGTCACTCGGAGCGCGACGCGCGCACCTCTCCGCGGCCTCGCGCCGCCGCCCCGGCGAAGCGCAGCCCTGCGGCCCAGGAGGGCCAGCGAGGCGCGAGGCGCCCCCTGCGGGTGGACAAAGGGCCGCTCTCGCAGCACCTCGCCTTAGGTCGGGCGCGTCCCTCGACAGGAACATCCCAAAATAGTCAAAAGGAATAGTCAGGGAACGATTTGTTTGAGTATGTTTGAGCATGTTGGGGGTATGTTTTGACTATTTTCAATTTGCCGTGCAAGATCGCCATGTAGGGGGACACGTCCGACCTAAACCTCGCCTTAGGACGGGCGTGTCCCTCGACAGGAGGAGCATCCAAGACTAGTTGTAAAAAATAGTCTGGGGACGATTTTGTGGTTTGGAAGTGTTTGAACATGTTCGGGGTATGTTTTTCTCCAGTATCTTCTATATTTCTCGTCCAATGCCTGCCTGAAGGGGGACACGCCCGACCTAAACCTTGCCGGCCGAAGACTTCCCGGCACCCCGCATTGGAAACAAGCAATACGTCGGGTCGCTGGGAGCTTAGGAGTCCCAAACATTGCTTGGCCCTCTGTTGGCCTCTGGAGGCCTCCAGGAGACTCGGGGGATCTGAGAACTCCACGGGGACTGGAGCCCTCCAGAGACCTCCTGAGACCTCCTGGCCGCCTCGTACTTGACGGGGTCGTTTTCGTCGTCGTTCTCCACCTCCCCCCCCCCCCGATCAAGCTCATTCACGCCCTTGTGCTTCTTCACAATCTCCCCTTCGCTCCTTCCTCGTGTATTCCTCCACGTCCTCCCCATCATCCTCCCTCCTCCTCCTCCTCCTCCTCCTCCTCCTCCTCCTCATCATCCTTCTGTTCGTGCTTCTGTTCCTCCTCCTTGCTCCTCCCCATGTTCGCTCCTCATGTTTGTTTCCTCCGATCCTCGCCCTTATCCTACTACTCTCTCTCTCTCTCTCCCTCTGTCTTTGTCTCCGTCTCTCATCCCACTCTTGTTCCGCCATCAAGCGGTTGGGCAAATGGCACACGGCAAGGGGCGTCCCTCCACCACAAAGACGGGTACGCGAGCCCTCTCTTCTCCGCGTGATTTATGCCACGGCCTCGCCACAAAGGTAAGGTGGAAAAGCAAGCGGCATCGCAACATTACAACGCCTCTATCGCCGCTGACGGCAGCGGCAGCTTTATCATTGCAGGCGTGCGCCTGAGGACAGCTACAGGCGAAAGCCAAGCCGCAAGGGTCCACAGAGCCCGTGGGCTCCAGGGTGAGCGCTGTCAGTGGGGGGTCTGGGCGGCCATGCAGAAAGGTGACGGGAGCTCTAGCGAATCTCACGAGGGTCCAGCCACTCGGTGGCGGGCGGGGGGGGGGGATAGCGAGAAGGAGGAGGCCTCCTCAGAGGGCGGCGAGACTTCTCCGAAAGCCCTCGACCCTTCCGAGGGGCATCCTGCGCCTTCGGGGAAGGCGGCTCGCTTCCCCCGCGGGCTCGCCGCCGAACCGCACGAATCCTTTCGCGGGCCAGGTGCCCCATGTGCCTTTGCTTCTGCAGCCGACGCCCACCGCGCTTCGCATCGCGGCAGGGGCCAGGCGCAGCTGCACGGAGGGAGCCCTCTCTTTCAGTCTCCCCTCTCTCACTTCGGGAGGAGGAGGAGGAGGAGGAGGAGGAGGAGGAGGAGGAGGAGGAGGAGGAGGTGGAGGAGGAGGAGGAGGGGGAGGAGGGGGAGGAGGTGGAGGGGAAAGGGGCCCCTCTTCCTCCCCCCCCCCTGGGCCTGGACAGGGAGGGAGGGGCGTCCAAGACGGCTCCCCAATGGCTTCGGAGAGCTCAAGATGCCATCCAATATGGCACAGGATAGTTCACGGTGGCCTCCAGCCTGCCTCCAAGACGCCCGAAGACCGCACCGGGGGGGCTCTAAGCCGCCTCGGATCCTCCCGAGGATACCCCCGAGAGGCCAACCTCATTCAACCACATCTGGTGTTCACCTGATGTGTGCATTCTCGCCTTTTTCACTTCTGGTGGGCGTTTGAGCAATGAAGATGGCTTCGAGATGGCCCAGCAGAGATCACCAAGAGAATCCCGCAAAGGCTCAAAGACGGCCTGTGCAGACCCATACGTGAGCCACAAGAACGGTCAAGAGAGCCCCAAGTGGGGCCCACCAGAGTTCCAAGACGGCGCCATCAACCCCAAAGAGTGACCCAAGAGCGCCTCAAGAGGGCCTCAAGAGGCGATATGTCGGGTTCCGACGGGAGGACCCCCTAATTAGTGCCGCCTCTTCGCTCAAAGCCAAATCCATTGAAACATCAAATGTGCTTGAAGGAGTTTGTCATCCCGGGGGCACCCTTGGGACGCTTTGGTGCCAAGATGGCTCCGAGACTGCACAAGGCGCCTCAAGATATACTCCCTGGTGGCACAAGCACGAGTGTCCAAGTTGGCTCAAGATTGCCCCCAGCCTGCCTCCAGGAGGCCCCAGGACGGTCCGCAGACTGCTCAACTTGGCATCAGAACCAGCAAAGGATACCCGGGGGAGGCCACAGTCATTGAAAAACTTACAGATTCTGGCCGCCTGGCAGGTTCGCTTGCATGGCTCCAAGACCGCCCAAGAGAGCACCCAAGAGCTCCCAGAGGGCGCCCCAAGAGGCCCCCACGAGGCAATACTCCAGGCTTCAAGAGTGCTCCCGAGGTGCTCAGGAATACCAGCAAGGACCCCAATCAGCGGCCAGGAGGCTCCCGGATCGGCAGATCCGCGAAAGAATTTCTGGCACTCCTAGAATTAGGTCGGGCATGTCCCCCTACAGGCAGATTTTGGAAGAAACCTCAAAAACGAACATCCTAAAAAATAGCTGGAATCTGATACCGGACCATTTTTTGACTATTTTGGAATGTTCCTCCTGTAGAGGGACATGCCCGACTTCTAATCCCAGGTCTGCTCAGTGAAGGGGAACTGGAACACACAAATAAATACACACAAATAAAACTATCCCCCATATTTTCCTACATTTTCGGGGTTTCTGTCTTCCCCCCCACTTCCCATATTTTCCCATATTTTCCTGGGAGTCGACGAATAATTGTGTCTGTGTGTTTTTTCCCCTCCAGACTGATCCAGGAGCACGGCTGAACGGCTGCCCCGCTCGTGGTACCGCTGCCTGCTCCTGCACTTCTCTGGCCGAGGCAGCTCGCCGGCTCCTCGTCTCCGGATGGGGTGGTGGGAGTGAGCAAAGGGAAATTAGGACACACAAATAAATACACACAAATAAAAATAGTCCCCATATTTTCCCATATTTTCGGGGTTTTTGTCTTCCCCCCCAATTCCCATGTTTTCCCATATTTTCCTGGGAATCGAGGATTAATTGTGTCTGTGTGTTTTTTTCCCTCCTGAATGAGCGAGGCGCCAAGAATACGGACAATAATGATAGGTGCTGGACCATCCTCGTCATCGTCGTCGTCACCACCATCATCACCGTCATCCATTTCGACTCCGTCTCTGCCACCGTCGCCGACGCCACTGTCACCGTGCTTACCACCGGCGTCATCATCCTCAGCAGTGTCACGGTCCTCCTGCCCAGACATCCGACGCCTTGTGTTTGTCAGTACGAGGTCCCCAGAAGCCCCGACCATTTCCTCCCTGGGGCCGGTTTTTCATCCCGAATCGTTTCTTGACGGTCCCGGGGCCATTCGAAGGCCCCTGGAGGCCGAAAGCGGCCACAATCTTCCAGTCGTGCAGTTCTCACGACCGCGAGCATGCATGGGTCGTCGTCCCTGTTGTCACCACCCTTGCCGCCGAGCCCCCACACCGACGGCCGCTCGTT